CCACCTAACATTAAAGTCATGTGTGTGTGTGTTGTATATTAGACCATAATAGAAAGACTCCAGGCTATGAAAAATAAGAATGCTTCTTAAAAACATGAAAATATAGTTGAATTGGAGAAAAATTCTGAAAAAAATAGTAAAGTCAGGTATGAAATAGCAATTAATGAACACCAATGTCAATAAAATAAAAATGAGTTTAAATAATTACTAAAAAAAATCTCATCACATAATTAAAGTCTGAAAGCCAACAAACTATTTGCAAGATGTACAGAGGAAAGAATAAAACAATGCATATGATTTACATCTAAAATCATAGGGTATATTGACAAAGAGCAAAAAGAAGCAAGGGAGTTGAATACAATACAATGCTTCTTTGTCTCACACAGGGGAGTGTAAAGAGAATTCACTCAACATTCATATATTTAGAAAATATATGGGTTTAAAAAACCTTTCATAAATTTAGTGGGTGACTACTGAAGGTAAAACAGAACATAGTATTCGACCATAAAGAAAATTTCTATTTGCCCAGTTAAGGACTAAATGTTTCCCCAAAGTTTCAATGTTGAAATCTAAACCCCAACATGATGATATTTCCAGGCTGGCCCTCTGGGAGGTCATTACAAGTATAGGCCAGAGTTAGCTCTCCTTTTCCACTCTTTGGACACAACAAAAAGTTGATAGTACACAAATGAAAGTGAGCCCTCACTAGAATCCAACGATGCTGGCACCATGATCTTTGACTCCCAGATTCTGTACTGTGAAAAACAAATGTGTGTCGTTTAATACACCCAAGCTACAGTATTTGTTATAGCAACCATAGCTGGCTTCTGGAGGTTGGAGGAAAGTGAGGGGTTGGTAGCAACATTTTTGTGATCATAATTTACAAAACAAGAAAAAATACCAAAAAAAGATAATTTGAATATACCTTACTTTTCCTCATACCTCATAAAGTAAGGTATGATTTTTAAGGGCGTCCTGCTAAGGGAACTAGACTGTGATTTTCTCCTCCAAAGGCTAGAAAGGGCCCAAAAGAAAGGCTTAAGATTAGTAAATCAGGACATTCACTTGAGGCACAGGGGTTAAGTCTCAAGGTTGTCAAGCTACTGGAAGCCACAGCATTATGAGTTAGATCCCCAGTCCAGTGAGCTGACCCACATGGTGCAGCAGACCTCTCCTGTCTTAGCCGCTGTTCCCCTCAGCAGTCTATTTCAGTCCATCTGCCTGCTCTGCTCCTCACTCTGTCTCTGGTGACTCCTCTGACTCCCTACAACTATGGCTATGACCCAGTTTTTTATGTATATCTCAAAAAAAAAAAGAATTAGTAAATCCTGGTAAGAACATATATCTGAAAATACTAGAGAAAAGGTTAACAATGGCTTGGCTTTTGGTAATGTGTATGGCCCACTAGGAGCTAAGTTTAAAAATGTTTGAGGCCTGAAATGGAAGAATACACAGGTGGAAAAGCAGAGAGGCTTTCCCCATTCATTTAGTACAGGGAAATGGAAAACTCTAAATAATGATGCACTGGGATGAAGAGTGTTTTTCTTTCTTGTATGAACTGCCAACGCCAACAGCACTCCAACAAACAAACTTAAGTCCAATGAGTCAATAAAGAAAAGTAAGAATAAGGTAATCAACAAAGGAAGGAAAAAGAATCAACACCAGAAACAAAAGACAATAAAAAGAGATAGAAAATAACTGTACCTCAAAAATTCTATATTCAGGTAAGGCAAGACTAATAACCTGTCAAGAAAAATATATCTACAGATATATAAGAAATCAGAGTCCCATCAGATATGTAAGAAATCAGAGAAAAACACAAATATACAAATATATTTGAACAAGAAAGGAAAAATGAAGGAAATGAAAAAGGGCTAGGCAATGAATCCTGAAACATAAAAACGCAGTTAAGTTTAAATTAGATAATGAGAGACTATAAGGAAATGTTATAAAAAGTAGTATAAAGTTCAAGGAAAAGATTCTTAAAAGGAACATGCATGGCTATAAGAGAAATTCTAAAAAGAAAAAACAAAGTCCAAAAGCAAAATTCCTAAGACATTTCAATATTATCTATAAAGAAAGGATTGAGGAAAATGTTCCAGTAAAAAATAATTCAGGGCCCTCCCTGGTGGCGCAGCGGGTTAAAAAACAGCATTGAGAATCTAAAGCCACTTACGCATGAGTTCGATTCCCGCCTGCCCCAGAGGTGACCACATGGCATGGCAGACCTCTCCTGACCCGCCCGCTGCTCCCCTGAGCAGTGTACTTCGTTGATCTGCCTTTTCTGTTCCCCACTCTGTCTCTGGTGAAGCCTCTTGCCGCCCCTGCACCTCTGGCCTGTACCCCAGTTCTGTATGCATAAATAAATAAATCTTCAAAAAAAAAAAAAATATTTCAAGCCCTCCCTGGTGGTGTAGCAGGTTAAAGCACAGCACCAAGACGCTAAAGCTACTTCAGCATGAGTTCGATCCCCAACCCAGAGGTGATCCACATGGCATGACAGACCTCTCTTGACCCGCCAGCTGCTCCCCTCAGCAGTGTACTTAGTTGATCTGCCTGTTCTGCTCCCCACTCTGTCTCTGGTGTATCCTCTCACCGCCCCTGCACCTTTGGCCTGTATCCCAGTTCTGTATGCATAAATCAATAAATCTTTTAAAATATATATATATGAATAAAACCTGAAGTGAATGTTAAATAAAATCATTGCAAAAATTTTATCTGGAGAAAAGAAAGGAAAAGTAAGCATTAGAAAGTATTTCAAGTCTCTCAGGTCATAAACAGAAGGCAAAAAGACCACCTCAGAGGGGGGAATAATGGGTATCTGCTGTTCAAGCATAAACAAAAATATATATATATGATTATGAACGCAGAGAAAGGAAAGATAATCTTTAATATAATAGGAAAGTCTCATATAAATTAATAAGGGGGGAAATACAATTAATACCAATGTGATAAAAAAGAAAGTTTCTTTAATGAAAAAAAGTAAAATAAATATAAATTATAGTAAAAGGATTAAAAGCAAGTAACTTAGCACATTAACTCTGAATGGACTAAACTCTCGTGGTAAAAGTCTATAGAGAGGCTTAAATAAACAAAATTTGTGCAACAAAACATAGGTTTGATATTAAAAGAGACTGAATATATTGACTATACAAATCGTATTTTATCACTACATTCCTCAAAATAAATTATCTACACAATATTAAGGCAACAACACAAAGCTAACACAGTTATCTTCTTATGATCTCACAGGGCTTCTACCACCTGTACAAATTTTTAAAATTCACTCATTTCTTTGTTTCCCAAGTATTTTGCATAGCAGATACTCCCTGCAGTTATTAGCTCTTTGACACTTTCCTCAAGATTTACACTACTTTACCGCCCATTGAAGAATGTACAAATTTGCATTTCTACTAGTTTAAGAAAGCACTTAACTGCTCACATATAAATATCATTGTTGTTTTAGAATTGTTTATTGGACTAAGCAAACATCTTTGTAGACTCACCCAAATATGATATTCAGAGCATATTTTCTTCTTGATAAGATAGGGTATATTTTGTTTCTTTTTTAAAGATTATTTATGCATACAGAGCTGGGGTGCAGGCCAGAGTTGCAGGGACAGTGAGAGGATTTACCAGAGACAAAGTGGGGAGCAGAACAGGCAGACTGAGGAAGTACACTGCTGAGGGGAGCAGCGGGCAGGTCGGGAGAGGTCTGCCTCGCCACTAGGATCACCTCCGGGGCTGGGAATCGAACTGGCACTGAAGTGGCCATAGCTAGCCTGCAGTACTGTGCCTTAACCGGCTTTACCACCAGGCAAGGCCACATAGTATTTTAAATAATAGAAGAGTATAGCTCTTAGATAAAAATCTGTATTACATGTCTAAAAGCTAAACACGGTGTAGACTGCTAACCTATGCAAAAGTTATTTTAGGTCATGATACTATAACTTCAAGTTTTCAGAAATGACAAAATGGGTGAAAAGAACAAAGTTTAGATTTTAAGCCATCAATACGACATTTAACACAATAGATTTTTTCTATCTGTATCTCATTTCAATCTAACAGGAGTTTATTATATCAGCACTTTATTACAGACTCAAAACCATATTCTGAAAGACTAAGGCATCATTAAAAAATTAATTGCAAATATTTTCAAAGATTGGTTTTTATATTACAGTTAAGACATTCCACTCCATTTGAAACTTTGTAGAAATATTTAAAAGTGCAATGGAAAAAAAAGAAAGAAAGAAGCTTATAATATTTTAGTCACACTTCACTGGCCACATGCTATGGCTCTTATGACTCAGAGACATGGCTATTCACCTTTCAAATTATTATAGATTTATTTCTTATAGTACTTTTTTAATAGATTGCATCTAACATTAGCATTAAATGTATATATTCACTTATTTTGTTAAAAACGATTAATAAACATAACATTCTTTACATTTAAAAACATTTATTACTTTGGCTAACAGGAAAATACATGTTTTATGCAATAGTTGTATTTCATATAAGTACCTTCTTTTTGAAAACTGACATCCATATTACATAGTGTACCTATACCAAAGCAGTTTTCATAGTGATATCAGGTGATCACTTTAAATGCTGATGTTTTAAAGATGTACTAAAATCAAATATAATTCAATTTTTAAGTCATCTAAATGGGTTAAATTTTAAAAGAACAAAATATATTTAAAAATATAATAAGAATGAAAACAAAACTGGGAATAAAATGCCATGAAGGATTGTAGATCAGGTAAAATGAAACAAGACTGGAAAAACAATAAAAATTCATGTTAAATCTCGAGTGTTTATTCGAAAGTAGCAATCAAATTCATAAGATAAATTCAAAAAAGCAAAAGCATAAGCATAAGCATTTAACATTATGAAAAATCTTAATGAAACTCAACATTTAAAATCTTACCATATTATACAAACTACTATTTCATGAAAAAATGGTGGGGTTGGGGGTAGATGTTTACTTATTTACTTACCCTTCTCCTCCCATTCTTGTTATCTTGAGGCGAAAATCTACAGAATTCAGACTGGGAGGCTTCCATTTTAAAATATCATCACATCGACCAGGTTTGTATTTCTAAAGTGAATGAAAATAATAGTTAATATGAAGCTAAAATATTCAACATTTTTTAATTGAGGCAACAATGGTTTACACTACTGTGTATGATTTAGGGAACTATGTTAACAAAATTAAACATTCCTGAACCTGATACCAATTATGTTTCATTAAGTAATTTTACTACCTCTCGAATATAGCTTGCTATCTTTAGCCCATGAGTGAGACTAGATATCCATCCTCATATTAGTGACCTTTCCCCTTTTTCTGCCAAAGCATGTATGTCATTCCAATTTGAGAAAGTCCAAAAAAGGAATAAAATCAATATTCTATTCAATCTACCCATGATTTAAAGAAGCCTAATGATTTTTTAAAAGTTCTTTGATTTTTAGCTTTATTGTTGGGTAATTTACAAATTACACCATGAATTAATTTTTGACCAATGAATTTTGACAAATAGATTCAATCATGTAACTATCATCAAAATCTTGATACATAACAATACAATAAACCCCCAAAATTTCTTCTAACATTTGCAGTGAATTCACTCCTTAGCATGCTCTCTGCTAACAATGATCTATCACGATAGTTGTATCTTTTCTAAAATTTATAAGATATTCTTTACAAAGTTTTAGCAAGCTATCTACGCTATTATATGTTTTAGTTGTTTTTCTTTTTATTACTATCATTCCACTTTATGTAATACCATGAATTTTTATGCAGTTAGAAACTGATGAATACATGAGGACTGTTCTCTGGTTTGGCTGCTATGAATGATACTGCTCTCTAGACATATGCTTAACTAACTCTTGGTAAAAACTAAGGATTGAGTGGCTGGGTCACATGGTAAATGTATGCATGTTTAACTTTATAAGAAGCTGTCAAACTGTGTAACATTTTCCCATTCCCAGTAGTAATGTATAATAGATCCATCCAGGTAAATGTAATAGCTAAAACTATAAAACTCTTAGATGAAAACACAGAGGCAAATTTTTATGTTCTTAAATTTGGTTAATAGATTCTGACGTATGATTCCAAAAGCAAGAGCTATTAAAGAAAAAAAAAGATAAGCAGTTTCAATAAAATTAAGGAAATGTTTTATGTACATCACAAGATATTACAGAAGAGAAATTTGTTAATCACATATTGATAAAGTTCAATGTACAAACTATTGAACAATTTCTACAATTGAAAAAAATGAAAACTGAAAGCCCTGAAAAGCAAGTAATAATCACTCATGCAGACTTGCAAGAATGAAATAAATATAAGGAAAAAAAAGAAGTAGAAAAATAAAGGAGCTACTGAAGCAAGGGAAACCCTATAAAGAGGAGGATACTCAGAAAGGAAAAATTGATGTGTTCTCATTGTTTTGTTTAAAGTACAAATCAAACAGAATTCTAAGATTTTTTATAGATCTGAGAAAAATTGTCAAACAGGACTACTCTTTCAAACAGAAGCCCATATAATGGCAAATTTAGTATAACTTAAGTTTTGCAAAGAAAGGCCAACTATTGGACTTGATAGGAAAGACACTGTTTTGGCGCAAAGTTAAGAATACTACTTTCTTCCAAACCTTGAATTTAAACATGAATGAAAATACAATCAAAAATAATTCAATTGAAGTTTTTGTCCATGTATTTGTCCTAAGGTATTCATTTAAACAATATATATCCTCCAGAATGCAAATGGCCAACAGATGTATGAAAAAATGTTCAACATCACTTATAGTCAGGGAAATGCATATCAGAACCATGAGACCAGCACACACTGGTGGCCCATGTTTAAAAAAAAAAAAAAAAAAACTGGCAACACCAAATGCTAGCAAGGATATGGAGAAAAGGCAATCCTCTTACACTGCTGGTGAGAATGCAATGCCACTGTACAAAGCTATGAGAAAGATCTTCAAAATACTAAAAATGGATCCCTGTGGTTCCTCTCTTAGAAAACTACCCAAAGAACACAAAAACACTAATTTAAAAGGAAACTTGTACTCTGTATTTACTGCAGCACTATTTACAAAAGCTAAGATATGAACCAACCTAAATGACCCCAAACAGATGAGTACTACTCAGCAATCAAAAAATACAAAATTCATGTCATTTTACAGCAACTTGGATGGAACGGGAAGATACTGTGCTAAGTGAAATAAGTCAGATGGAAAAAGAAAAATTTCAGTTGGTTTCACTTATGGGTGGAATATAAAGAAACCTAACAAGGTGTCAAAAAAGAAACATACAGGCAAACAATAGTTTTGAAGCACATGGGGTAGGTGCAAGGAGGAGAAGGGTCAAAACAGGGGAGGGAAGAACATAAAGGACTATGGTGATAGTTCATGGGCAAATTATGGGGTCTACAGCTGTGGAGAAAAATCAAATATTGCACAAAAATGAGCAATGTAATAAAATTTTTAAAATAACATAAACTTAATTTTTTAAAATAATATGTATCATTCAGGATGATTACAAATCTCTTTAGTCTTATTTTGATTTTTTTTATAAATGCTGAAATGGCAAGTTTTCCAATTGTCAATCAAATAATGAAAAAAATGATAAAATTAAATTTTTCTAATAAAGTATATTTGATAGGAATGTCATAAACCTTTTATAACAGTAGCTCACTATGGTAGTACAGGGTAAAAAGACTAAGGGGAGAAAAGAATGTCAGCATGCTTCCTAGATACTATTCACAACCTCTGCCAAGGGAATGCCACACTCTATAGTCATCAATTACTTCTGTTTCCTATTTATTTATAGTAGTGACTATGAGGCTACCTAGAAACCAAAGTTAATCTAAGTTATTAAATTTAGAAAAGTTTAATGATTGATACAGTTTTACAACACCTCATAACAGGTTCCTAATGATAAATCTAAAAAAAAGAATTTGAATGTATACTTTATAATAAATATTATAATATCTCTTACATTCTCCTCTCTGAAAACCAAGACTTAGTCTTGTCTAAAGACAGAACTGCTAGTTTTTATACAGCAATGTCAGAAACAAGTCATTCCTCTTCTCACTGAATATCAACTACTTGTAGCAATTTAAAATATTAGAATTTGATAGCTTTGGTCATTTTAAATTATCTCCATGAAATTAAAATGCATGATTAAAAATTTCGAAAACCATAGTTTAAAATACTGTAGCTCTCAATGACTGCTATAAATTCAACAATGACATAGATTCTATGGGTAAAATGTATTTAAATACCTATTCAAATGTAAATTTTACTTCAACAAAAACCATTTCTAACAATCTGCCTAACAAATGCAAAATAAAATATCCAATGAATATCTGACAAAAGTAAAATTTACTACAAAATGTTAGTCTCAGTTATACTTAGCTTTAAAATAGAATTATGAAATGATTGAACTTAGCAATATTCAAAAAGATTGTAATACTATATATACCACATTACAGAATGCATATATCTACTGTATTATAGATTGTATATATCTATCACTATATAAAATACCTAAAATATAATCACTAAATAAATAAGCGCAAAAGTACTAAATAATACAGGGAACTAAGTCTTTTAAATAAAAGGTATAAGTTATTAAACTTCAAATATAAGATCTGCTGAACTATAAACATGAACACCAAAAACATCCTTGAAAGGATGTTTGAAAGTTGCATGTTTCAATGTACAATTAGGGAGCAATACATTTTAATTTCATTAAATTCACCAACATAAGTCAAGATTAAAATAATCATCAAAGCAATATTTAACTAATATATACAATACTTCATTCTATAGAAGTAAATCTGACTTAACCAGATGATTTGTCAAATAATAACTGGGCACAGATTGTCTGAAACCAATTACCAATATAATGGAAGATATCCATTATTGTCTGGGGAAAAAAGAAAACAATACAAGATGATGCAAATATCAAGCACCAAAGTAAAAAGATCAGACAGGAAAATGTTTACCGAGTGAGATTAGAATCTGACTTGGAGTTGGAAAATAGTCATGTGTCAAAGAGAAGTCTCAAAACTAGAGAGAAAACTAAATGGAGGCATAAGTGATACATCTGTAAAGCAGTCTTTCTAGCTAGAGGTGATTTCAGCCAGAAGAGAGAGAGGTTATTTGGTAAAGCCTGTATTTTTGGTGTCACACTGGGGAGGGGGAGGGAGTGCTACTGCCATCTAGTGGGTTGCTAAATAGTTCTATGCATAGATGAGCCGCCCACAAAATTACCATCCAGCACAAAATGTCAATTGCGCCACAGTTAAGAAGCTCTGATGTAAAGGTAGCTAGGAGGAGTAATACCAAAGAGGACATGATATTTAGTCCCTCTTTGCCTGTACTAATTACAAACTTCATGATTTTAAAAATCCAATGTTGGGCCCTCCTTGGTGCGCAGCGGGTTAAGGCACAGCACTGAGAAGCTTAAGCCACTTCCACAGGAGTTCGATTCCCGCTTGCCCAGGAGGTGACCACAAGGCATGCAGACCTCTCTTGACCTGCCTGCTGCTCCCCTCAGCAGTGTGCTTTGTCAGTCTGCCTATTCTGCTCCCCACTCTGTCCCTGGTGAAGCCTCTCACCGCCCCTGAGCCTCTGGCCTGTACCCCAGTTCTGTATGCACAAATAAATAAATCTTTAAAAAAAAAAAAATCCAGGCCCTCCCTGGTGGCGCAGCGGGTTAAAGCCCAGCACTGAGAAGCTAAAACCACTTCTGCATGAGTTTGATTCCCGCCTGCCCTGGAGGTGACCACATGGCGTGGCAGACCTCTCCTGATCCGCCCGCTGCTCCCCTCAGCAGTGTACTTCATCAATCAGCCTGTTCTACTTACTTTCTGTCTCTAGTGAATCCACTCACCACCCTGCACCTTTGGCCTCTACCTCAAGTTCGATTCCCGTCTGCCCTGGAGGTGACCACATGGCGTGGCAGACCTCTCCTGAACCACCCGCTGCTCCCCTCAGCAGTGTACTTCATTGATCTGCCTGTTCTGTTCCCGACTCTATCTCTGGTGAAGCCTCTCACCACCCCTGAGCCTCTGCCTGTACCCCAGTTCTG